ACAGCTCACCAGAGCCTCTACTTCTTGGGTTCAAGTGATTCTCCTGCCTTAGCCTCCCAAATACCTGGGATTACAGATGCACGTCACCTAATTTTTTATTTCTTATAGCGATACGGTCTTGCTGTATTGTGTAGTCTGTTCTCAAACTCCTGGGCTCAAGCAATCCTCCCACCTCAGCCTCCTAAAGTGCCGGAATTACAGACACCTGTCCTGCTTCAAGGTTTTTTTTCACAACCTAGGACTTCTAGAAATTGCCTCACCAGCTTGAGATTGTTTTACTGATCATAACTTCTGAGTTATGAGCATGGAAGAAAAGGAAATCTACACTGAAAGGGAAATTCAGTGTACTTAATGATATAACTTCTTCTTTCAGTAACAGGGGAAACCCAGAGGGAACTAATTCTCTTTGTGAAAGGTGATGGTGGCTTTTGCTACAGGAGGAAGGTTCACAGAGGGAACAAAACTAGCTACCTGATTCCTTCACATATGTAGTGATATCTTCTTTGAAAGCAATGTTTTATAACTTGTAAGAGCTCTCATCTTCGCCTGTGCAAAGAAGAAAAAGGGTGTTTATTGACTAACATTAGATCGTAATCAGAATTATGTAAGATTAATATATAGTATTGACTATTTAGAGCATGAAATTCCCCTTTGGAAGAATATAAAAGACGGAATGTAGGCCGGGCTCGGTGGCTCAGCCTGTAATCCCAGCACTTTGGGAGGCTGAGGTGAGTGGATTGCCTGAGCCCACGGGTTCGAGACCCGCCTGGGCAACTTGGCGAGACCTCATCTCTACAACAAATCAAAAATTAGCCGGGCATGGTAGCACACGCCTGTAGTTCCAGCAACGTGGAAGGCTGAGGCGGAAGGATCGCCGAAGCCCAGCAGGTCGAGGCTGCGGTGGCCGGGAGCGGCCACTGCACTCCAGTCTGGGCGATGGAGTAAGACTCCAACTCAAAAAAAATAAAAGAGGGAATGTCATCCTGAAAGCATGAAAGGGAAAGAGAAACTTACATATTTATAAGATAATCTGTCATCTTATATGAGCATAGCTATAAAAGACAAATGCTAAGTGCTTTCATATTCATGGACGTGTGTTTCTACACAATAAGATGACTTTGGTGAACTTTATAAAGTCAACTTGTGCACAAGTATAAGTCAGAAATTTTATGCTGTTAACCAGGCATGGTGACACATGCCTGTAGTCCCAGCTACTTGGGAGGCCGACGTGGGAGGATCACCTGAGCCCAGGATGTCGGGGCTGGATTAAGCCTTGATAGAGCCGATGCACTCCAACCTTGGTAGCAGAGTGATACCCCGACTCAACCAATCAACCAATCAATCAGTCAATTTTATGCTCTAACATTACATTTATCCCTCAGTTTGCAGAAAAAATTTGGTTCTTGGTAGCTTGAAAGTATGAGCTTTATTTGTTGTAGTGGCTCTGTGGCTCTTATAACATTCACAGTCTTGACCAAATCTCCCCGAGAAAGTCTTGATAGAACAGGGAAAGAGATGTTAACATGAAAAGCTAGCCAGCAAACTGTTGCCTTCAACTATTATTATGTGGGTGGTAATGAGAACCTTTCAGTTTTTTCTTTTTCCAAATTTCCAAATGTATGTACTGTATACAGTGGACTGTTAATGATAAAGGCATAGGTTCTAGAAGTGTAAATGTGAAATGTGATGCTGAGATAAGTCTAAAACTTACTTAGTCCTCATTTATTTCTACATTCTCCATTGTGGAACTGAAATTTATGACACTGGTTCCAGGAAGTTACAAAATGATGTATGAAAAACAACTGGTAAGCAATTTGCTTTCAGAATGAGTACAGCAGACTGTCACAAAAACAAGTATTAGTTGGGCATGGTGGTGGCTCATGCCTATAATCCCAGCACTTTGGGAGGCCAAGGTGAGAGGATTGCCTGAGCTCACGGCTTCGAGAGCATCCTGGACAACTCGGCAAAACCTCATCTCTACAATAAATCAAGACAAATCAGCTGGGCATGGGATACACACCTGTAGTTCTGGCTACTTGGAATACTGAGACGGAAGGATACCAGAGCCTAACGAGTTAAGGCTGTGGTGGCTGTGAGCATGCCGCTGCACTCTCCACCTAAGCAACAGAGTGAGACTCCGACTCAAAAAAAAAATGTTGGCTGAGGCAGAAGGATCGCCGGAGTCCAGCAGGCGAGGCTGCGGTGGCCGGGAGCGGCCACTGCACTCCAGTCTGGGTGACTGAGTGAGACTCCAACTCAAAAAAAAAAAAAAAAAAAAGTTGGAGTGTTTTAAATACCCATCACATTTCTTGTCTTCATAGCAGTGTGAAGTCACACAGGGGGCCTGACAGTACAGGTCTAGACTAAATCCCAAAAGATGATAACAGGAGAAGACTGTTGAGTTTAGCACTTAGTATATGCAAAGCACTGTTCTAAAACTTCACATTTGTTTCCTCTTTTAATCCCAGCAACTTGTGACTTTTACAGAAAATGATGCTGAGACATGAGGGTTTACACACCTCATAAGAAGTAGAGAGTGGAGGTTTGGATACTTACAGTCTGACCTCAGTCTATATTGGTATATAGTGCTTAGCTGAAATCCCATTTAAAATAAAATCTTAAGAGAAATTGTGAAAAATGACAAATTGAGGAACCTTGATGAAGCCAGTGAAATAAAAATCAAGTTGAATTTAGAGCACATGCTATTGGAGAGTAAATTTTAAAAGATTTTTTTTTAAATTCTTAATTTTTCTTGTCGTAGGAAAATATATGTAACAATAGAAACAAGCTAAGAAACAAGAAATATGAAATAGGAAGATAAATATAGACCTTCTCTTAGAAATCTGCCCACAAATATTTATTTATTCATTTATTTACTTGAATTAGAGTCTCACTGTCACCCAAGCTGGAGTGCGGTGGCATGATCACAGCTCACTGCAGCCTCAACCTCCTGGGCTCCAAAGTTTCTAGGACTACAGGTACTCACTACCATGCCCAACTAATTTTCTAATCTTTTTTTTTTTTTTGAGCTGGAGTCTCACTCAGTCGCCCAGACTGGAGTGCAGTGGCTGCTCCCGGCCATCGCAACCTCGACCTGCTGGGCTCCAGTGATCCTTCCACCTCAGCCTTCCAAGTAGCCAGAATTACAGGCATGCGCTACCATGCCCGGCTGATTTTTTGATTTATTGTAGAGATGAGGTCTTGCTGCCCAGTCGGGTCTCGAACCCGCGGGCTCAGGCAATCCACTCACCTCAGCCTCCCAACGGCGCGGGATTACAGGCTGAGCCACCGAGCCTGGCTTTTCTAATCTTTTATAGAGATGAGATCTCATTATGTTACCCAACTTGGTCTCAAACTCCTAGACTCAAGCCATCTTCCCACTCAGCCTCTCAAAGTGCTGGGATTATAAGCGTGAGCCACCATGCCTGACCAAACCCGAATACTTATAATTTCATTTCTTTGCATTTTTTAGCATATTCAAAGTAAATGTAATGCTTTCACAAAGTTGTTGAAAATGAATTTATTGCTGGGCTTGGTGGCTCAGCCTGTAATCCCAGCGCTTTGGGAGGCTGAGATGAGTGGACTGCCTGAGCCCATGGGTTCGAGACCCGCCTGGACAACTTGGCGAGACCTCATCTCTACAATAAGTCAAAAATTAGCTGGGCATGGTAGTTCCATGCCTGTAGTTCCAGCTACTTGGAAGGCTGAGGCAGAAGGATTGCCCAAGCCCAGCAGGTCGAGGCTTCGGTGGCCGGGAGTGGCCACTGCGCACCAGTCTGGGCGACAGAGTGAGACTCCAGCTCAAAAAAAAAAAAAAAAAAAAGAAAATGAATTTATCTTGTGTCAGCCTTCTGACTATCATTTTTTATGATCCTGGTTAACAAGGGCTATTAATTATGGACTAGAATTGAGTCACTGTACAAAATTTGATTCAGTTTCAAATGAATGCTTTTCATTTTAAAAGTAGGTCTTACAAAGAATAAGTCTCTATCTGAAAAGATCTCTTGATGGCCGGGCTCGGTGGCTCAGCCTGTAATCCCAGCGCTTTGGGAGGCTGAGGTGAGTGGATTGCCTGAGCCTATGGGTTTGAGACCCACCCAGGCAACTTAGTGAGACCTCGTCTCTACAATAAATCAAAAATTAGCCAGGTGTGGTAATGTGCTCCTGTAGTTTTGGCTACTTGGAAGGCTGAGGCGGAAGGATAGCCAGAGCCCAGCAGGTTGAGGCTGCGGTGACTGGGAGTGTGCCACTGCATTTCAGCCTGGGTGACAGAGTGAGACTCCAACTCAAAAAAGAATAATAATAAATAAATAAAGGTCTGTTGATAAAACTGATGGCTTCTCAGTAAATTCATATGTGGTGAATTAAACAAGAGTCAGGGAGTTGTAATATCATTGAGGGATTCCTTATACTCTTCATAATATTGTGATCTAGTATAAAATAGAAGTATTGGCCATGTGACTTACTTTTTATATAGGATTTAGTGTCCAAACCCCATGTGTTCATAGAAATTTAAACTAATAAATTGGCTGCTTAAAAAAATGAATATTAGACACTATGGTAAAAATAATTATTGCTAAATATAGCTGTTTTCTTCTAACAACTATTTTAGACTTGCCATCTAATCCCCAACAATTAGAAATTCTAGTGTATACCAACTTCAACTTACAAAGTTAAGAACTTAAGTTGCTGGTATGTAGAAGATCCTTAATAAATTGTTACTGAATTTATTGTATTTATTTAAGACAACAATACAAAATTGTTATTTACATAGATATCAATAAAATGCTTATGAGCCATGAAAGGGATATATAGTTTTAATGTTTTAAGAATATAATGATTTTTGTTACAAGCATAAAATCTCAGTAATTTTCCTCACACAGAACGTACCATGTTCCCTATTCAAATCATCAGAATGTTTGACCAGGGCAACTTTTTAAATGGGTCATTTTCCCTCTTTTTTTTTTCTGTGTATTGATATGTGTTCTGCTTCCTTGCAGTTCAACAACATGCTGCTGTACTGTGTGCCTAGATTCAGCTTGGTGGGCTCTAAATTCACAGTTCGAACCAGGGTTGGCATCGATGGAATGAAAATTGTAGAGACTCACAATGAAGAGTATCCACACACTTTCCAGGTATCTGGCAAAGAGAGAACACTGGAACTGCAGGCCAGGTAAGAGGACCATCCCTGTCACAAGCTTTCCAGAAACATCAGAATGAATCATAGGACAGAATGGTTCTGAGGATTTTTCCCAAGTGGGTGCTACAGGTCTCTGGGAATCTGGTTGGAGATCAACAAAGAACTATGAGCTCTTGAAAGGCAAAAGTTGTGTCTCTTCCCTCTTGATTCTTCCACAGTGCCTAGGACAGTGGTTTGTAGACAGTAAGCTTTCAGTAAATTAATTGGTTTTTCAGAAACATGGGTGCTCAGAGAATGAATTTATTGCAATCAAGCCAGACTCCAGAGACTTGTAGGAAAATGTTCTCTCCTAATCCTTTCTTCCATCTCTCCTTTTTGTCCACAAATGTTTACTGATGCTTATGATTCCATGCTAAGTGATGAGTCCTTCAGAGGCTCGGCATTCTAGAGTCTTAGGGGCACTTTGATTGAGATAAATGTTTGTAGGAGGCAGGGCAGTAAAGGTAATGGTTCTCTTGCTATGGTTGGCGGATATGTGAGGGAGCCTTTTGGGGCTTAGGTGGCCTCTGGCAACCAGGACTTCTGGAAGGTGTGGCTCTTGACATAGGTTTTATTGAGTGGGAGAGAAAGGGCTGGAGTTCTGGCTAACATTTTCCTAGCCATAATTTTGTTTGGCAGGGGTTGGGAACCCCTGTGCATGTGAGCCACTGTGGTAGATCACAGCTGCCTTATTCATGAACCTCTGGAAGACGGGTTTTTAAATATCTGCTTTGGAAGATAGTCATCCATTTATCGTGTAAAGGCCTAGTATGCTGAAAATCTGTATAGTCCAGAATGTCACAGATCAGAGGGTTCAGTTCCAATGCCAGCTCTAACAGTTTTTAAATTCCAGAATCCATGGAGAGTCAGGGTGTCTTCCTGTTCCTTTCCACCAGTAGCATGTGGCTGTGATTGCACGGATGAATTAATCCTGGATATTTGTACTCCAGATATTTCTAGCTGCCTAAGAACTTAAACTTAACACTTTCAAAAGAGAATAAATCATGAATCTGCCCAGGAGAATCTGTAATGGAAGCTATCACAGGCTGGGAAAGTTAGAATAAACAACCAGTTCTTTGATTTCCAACAGAAAATATACACTGAACCTCCCATTTCTTAGGGAGCAGCCAGGGGACTGTTTTAAAGATTAGCAAGTAGCATTTTAAACTTGACTTTGAATGTTTTGGTTTTTCTACCTCCTCTTCGTGAACTTCAGGCCCTAGCCCCTCAAAGCCAAGGGAAGAGTGTATGATGCTCAAGGCTTCTCACTCAGTGGTTGAGTCACTGACCCAGGCAGAAGAGAGCACTCATCAGTAGTTTTCATCATCATAGAAGTCTTCACTGCAGAAGAATTAAGGTGCTGCTGACTCTGAAGTTCTAGCACACTTCCAAAACTGCAAACCCAAGAGGTGTATCTACTAATAACAGGGGAGATATTTCTAAGGTGTCTTGGCCTGCCCAAATAGATGGTTAAGTTCTCCATCAGCAGGTTGGGCTATTTCCTTTTCAGGGTGGACCTGAGTAATAAGGAATTTTCTTAAGTACTTTATAACGTTCCCATACACCGGCTTGGATACATTTTTATTGTGTTGTTTTGTGTGTTGGAGTCTCACTCTGTCACTCAGGCTGGAGTGCAGTGACACATTCACAGCCACCCCGGTGTCAACTTGCTGGGCTCCAGGCTGTAGTGCAGTAGCACACTCGTGGTCACCCTAGTATCAACCTGCTGGGCACCAGCGATCCTTCCACCTCAGCCTTCCAAGTAGCCGGAACTACAGGCATGCGCTGCCATGCCCAGCTAATTTTTGATTTATTGTAGAGACAAGGTCTTGCCAACTTGCCCGGGCTGGTCTCACCTCGGCCTCCCAAAGTGCTGGGATTTTAGGCTGAGCCACTGAACCTGGCCTGATGCATTTTAATTAATATGGAAACATGGGTCATTATGCCTTAAATATTTTATTCATGTAATCTCATTGTTTTAAGTTATATTTATGCTTGCATGATGATATTGAAGAACTGAATTAAATGATTGCTTTCCATCTGGTCTGTAATGGCTCTCTTAAGTGTGGAGACCAACACTGAAGTTTCAAGAAAGTCAGAATGTCAGAGGAATTATGTGGAACCAAAAACTGGGTGTATGTTTGGACAAACTTAAAGAGTATTTGCTTCTGGAAGCCAATTGGGAAAAAAAGAGTTCCACTTTCCTGTTATGTTATGAGTCAGCCTCAAGACTGACCTCTTACATTTTTGCTTCCTCTTCCACACTCAAAAAGATAAAAAACATTTTCTTTTATGTGCAGAACACTATTACAGTTTTCTGTTGCTAAGCAGAAATAAAATACAGAATTAAGTAAATTAAAGAGTAAAAGAAGTTTGCCCTAACTAAAAAAACTTTTTAAAAAAAGCACTAAAGACTCATTAAGTGTCTTTGTCTGCACTTGAAAGGGTAAAATCCAACCAGGTGTGGTGGCCCATGCCTGTTGTCCCAGCTACTCAGGAGGCCGATGGGGGAGGATCACTTGAGCTAGGAGTTGGAGGTTACAATGAGCAATGATCTCGCTACTGTACTCCAGCTTAGGTGATAGAGTGAGACCCTGGCTTTTTTAAAGAAAAAAGGAGGGGAAAAAAGGCTAAAAGCAGCTGGCAAGTAACTATGCTCTGAGGGTAACAGTTGTGGGGCAAAGCAGTAGGGGGAAATCTTTTTTTTTTTTTTTTTTGATAGGCTAAATTGAAACCTCTAGGTGAACAATAAACAGAAGCTTCCACTTGGCAGACACAGATACCAGCAAGCAGCATTATGGGTACATCATGGTGCTCAGGAATCAATTTGCTGGAAAGATAGATTGTGACTCATCAACAAACCTCTAACCAGTCCCATACATATTTATTTCATACCTGTGGGTATGAGGCAGGTGGCATTCAGGCTCGTACTCAAATTTAGCCCAGCCTACCAAACACATGCAAACAAACAGAGCCCATTCTTCTATGCGCCAAAATTTCTCAATTTGGTAAGCTTAATGCAGCTCAGAATCCAAAGCGGACTTTTCAAATACGATATATGACAGCAACCAGTTATATAAGCTACCTGCAAGGGAGAGGAAATAAAGAAAATGTGTCTCAACTGGAACAAGGGAACTTGACTCCAAAATTTTTTCCCTAAGGAGACTTATTAAAAACTAGGATTTATTAATGTGTGAAACCTCCTTCCTTCGGGCATTTAAAATTTGCATATGTTTTGCTTTATCTATAATGGGTTAAGTTTGGTATTGCCTAAAGCCTCCTAGGAATAGGAAAATAAAATTAAGTTGTTTATTAAAGGAAATGTTAAATAGCTCCCTAAGGCTTTATGAAGATATTTTAGAGTCTCAAGAAAAATTGTAGTCTTCTCTAAGAGGGACTGCACTGGTAACCTTTAATAGCCTTAGTGTGTTTTAGAAAATTGGAAGATTAACTGTTGTATGTTGAATATAATGCTGTGTATATATAGTCACCCTATATATACAACCAGATGATGGTTGTTTTGGTTTTGTGGGGGGGTTTTGGCTTTTGTTTTTTGAGTTGGAGTTTCACTCTTTGTTGCCCAGGCTTGAGTGCAGTGGCACGCTCACGGTCACCGCAGCCTCGACTTCCTGGGCTCAGGCAATCCTTCCACCTCAGCCTTCCAAGAAACTGGAACTACAGATGCATGCCAGCACACCCGGCTAGTTTTTGTGATTTATTGTAGAGATGAGGTTTCACCAAGTTGCCCAGACTGGTCTCGAACCCCCAGGCTCGGGCAATCCTCTCACCTTAGCCTCCCAACGTGCAGGGATTATAGACTGCCACCGTGCCTGGCCAATGATGGTTGTTAAATTTTAATGTCTGGATGGTATATTAGAGGAAGCTAAACCCAGCTCTCCCCATCAAAATTTATGTGTAGAAAGTCAGTGGATAGTCTGAACCTCTGTTTAAGAATTTTATTTGTTCATTTGCCAGAGAGTCTGTTCCATTTTGATTGTAATTTCTTCCATGACATCCCTGAATTTTCCAGAAAGTTGGAACAACATTAAAATGTAGTTGTCTTCACCAGGTGTAATTTATTAATGTTCTCTGCATTCACTGTAATTTTGTTTTGTTTTAGTTCTGAGCAAGACAAAGAAGAATGGATCAAGGTAAGCGTTATTTCTATTTTCATTTTTGTTTGTAACATTTCTAATGTGAGCATAAATGTGTACATATTGTTTCTTTTGTTTCATATATATTCCTCAGAACAAGTTTATTTCATTTTTAAGGTGATTCCTATCATAGATATTTGTTTAAGAAAGTATGTTCATTACTTTGCATATGAAACTTTAATGTGTGCTTTAACTTTGATTTGTATTTTAGGCTCTTCAAGAAACTATTGATGCTTTTCATCAAAGGCATGAAACTTTCCGAAATGCAATTGCAAAGGATAATGACATCCACTCAGAGGTTTCTGTAAGTTGAATTACATTCTTTTTTTTTTTTGAGTTGGAGTCTCACTCCGTCACCCAGCCTGGAGTGCAGTGGCCGGTCCCGGCCACTGCAGCCTCGACCTGCTGGGCTCCGGCAATCCTTCCGCCTCAGCCTTCCAAGTAGCTGGAACTACAGGCGTGCGCTACCACACCTGGCTAATTTTCGATTTATTGTAGAGATGAGGTCTCACCAAGTTGCCCAGGCGGGTCTCGAACCCACAGGCTCTGACAATCCACTCACCTCAGCCTCCCAAAGCGCGGGATTACAGACTGAACCAACGAGCCCGGCTGAATTACATTCTTAACTTCAAGCTCTTTTGTATCTTTGCAGTTGGAGAAAATCTATCAGATCATTTTGTTGCCCAGCCTTTTCCCTTTACAATGTCAGAATTGGCTGTTTAGACAGAATCTCCTTCTTTCTTAGATGAATACTATAGTTAGTACCTTTTCATACTGTTTAAACTTCTTTGAATCTTTTTTTTCCTTGAATTTCAGACCATGGTTTGAGCGATGTTGTTAATGTGCTTTCAAAAAAATAATAACAGCCGGGCTCGGTGGCTCAGCCTGTAATCCCACGCCTTTGGGAGGCTGAGGTGAGTGGATTGCCTGAGCCCGCGGGTTCGAGACCCGCGGGTTCGAGACCCGCCTGGGCAGCGAGACCTCATCTCTACAATAAATCAAAAAATCAGCTGAGTGTGGTGGCGCATGCCTGTAATTCTGGCTACTTGGAAGGCTGAGGCGGAAGGATCGCCGGAGCCCAGCAGGTCGAGGCTGCGGTGGCCGGAAGCGGCCACTGCACTCCAGTCTGGGCGACAGAGTGAGACTTCAACTCAAAATAAATAAATAAATAAATAACAATAAAAGGGAATTGCAGTTTTTTTCCTATTAAAATGGAATCTTTTTTCTTTTATTTTAGACAGCTGAGCTAGGGAAAAGAGCCCCCAGGTGGATCCGAGATAATGAAGTAACAATGTGTATGAAATGCAAAGAACCTTTCAATGCACTGACACGGAGGAGGCATCACTGTCGAGCATGTGGACATGTAAGGGCGACTTCTTGATCGTTAAAGTTGCTAGTAACTATCTAAGTGATTTAAAATCATGAACTTGGACAAAAAAAATCTATCATCAAATAACTTAATCATTAAATTTATGTTGGTGCCACTTATGTGCTAAGCATTGTGCTGGGCCCTGGAGAAAAAAAATGTTAGAGAAAATGATGCTTGCCTTCTTCACAGAGCTTATATCGTAATGGAGAAAATAGCCAAATAAGAATTTCAAAGTACTGTAGATAGAATAAAGAAGCAATCAAGAAATTAAAATAGAGAGTATTAGTAATAGAGAAAAATTTGGAACCAATTTTAGTAATGAAAAAAAAAAAAAGACCTATCTAAGGGGTTGGTATTTAAGCTGATGTCTCAAAGGTGAGAAAATGCTAATAATAAGAAGGCTCCTCCAGACAGTGAAAGCCTATATGCAAAGGCCCTGAGGTAGGAAAGAGCTTGATCTATTCATGAGAGAACCCAAAGGTCTTGATGCTGGAGCCTGATGACTATGCGGAGGTGTAGCAGGAGAGATGGTAGAAAGATAAATAGTGGCCAGAGGATGTACTCAAGAAGACAAGAAGAGATGACACCCACAGGACAGGTGGATGATGATGAGATGCTAACTCAGGAGACTAGTGGGTAGAGTCAGACAATGATGGGCTCAAGGTGCTAGCAGATTTTGAAGACAAGAAAAGAGTCAAAAGCGGTCCCAGCTCTCAACCCTGAGTTCTCAGAGGTGACAGAAGGTAAAGGTGAGAGAAGCTTGAGAGAGGAGCCTGTGAATATGGAAGAGTTTGATCCTAGAGTGCTCCAGAGGGCCAGTGGAAGGGTTTTGAGGGGGAAAAGAGGAGATGGGGAACGGAACAAGATTAAATCATATACAGAGCAGTATGTATGGGGATGAGGCTGGGAAAATAACTAGAGAACCTGGATCTTCTCTTGGAAACCGGGGTAAGCAGGAAAGTGGAGCATGAGGGAGTAAGTTCTGCTGGTTTCTGAGATGAGGGTGGGCAACCAGAATTTCCTTACAATTTTTCTGTTTTATTTGGCTACTTTATAAATTCCTTTAATGTACAAAATTTTCTTTTAAGTTCCTTATCTAAAAATAATACAGATCTGATTATAAGTTAACTAGTAACTACATTATTAATATTTGAAAGTAATGATGCTACATATTAACGTAATTTGATCATGGTTTGATCAAACATTGAACTGAGTTTCATATGGAAAAAGTGAGGAGGAACAAACCATGAAATGAAGCTGGAGAGAGGTAGTGGCAACTTTTGGTGGGCCTTATCAACCAAGTTCAAGATTATATCCTTTCTTCTAAAAGGAATTAATAAACACAGAGAATAGTAGTTGTTACAATGTCTGATCTGTTAGATTATTTGCATGCTTAAGTGCAACAATTATTTTATTTATTTATTTATTTATTTATTTTATTTTATTTTATTTATTTATTTTTGAGTTGGAGTCTCACTCTGTCGCCCAGACTGGAGTGTAGTGGCCACTCCAGCCTCGACCTGCTGGGCTCCGGCGATCCTTCTGCCCCAACCTTCCAAGTAGCTGGAACTACAGGTGCGTGTTAGCATACCCGGCCAATTTTTTTTTTATTTATTTATTGTAGAGATGAGGTCTCGCCAAGTTGCCCAGTGGGTCTCAAACCCGCGGGCTCAGGCAATTCACTCACCTCAGCCTCCCAAGGCACGGGATTACAGGCTGAGCCACCGAGCCCGTCTTATTTATTTATTTTTAGTCAGGGTCTTACCCTGATGCCCAGGCTGGAGTGCAGTGGCATGATCATGGCTCACTGTGCACCCTTTACATTCTGGGCTCAGATGATCCTCCCTCCTCAGCCTTCTGAATAACTGGAACACAAGTGTGCACCACCACACCTGGCAAATTTTTGATTTTTTGTAGAGACAAGAGATCGCTATGTTGCCCAGGGTCCTCTTGGACTCTGGACCCCAAGCAGTTATCCTACCTTGGCATTCCAAAGTGCTGGAATTATAGGCATGAGCTACCACAACTGACCCAGCAATTCTCATTGATAGTTCTTTTTTTTATTCTCACTTTCACTGCAGACTTATTCCTCTTCTTTTCCTAAGACTTATTTTGACTTGGTGAGGCAGTTTTGCAATCAAAATTAAATTGATAGTAAGCCGGGCTCAGTGGCTCAGCCTGTAATTCCGCGCCTTTGGGAGGCTGAGGTGAGTGGATTGCCTGAGCCCGCGGGTTCGAGACCCGCCTGGGCAGCGAGACCTCATCTCTACAATAAATCAAAAAATCAGCCGGGCGTGGTAGCG